TATATTGACCTTGTACACAAAAGTGTCCTCAAATTAGATTAAATACCTACCAGACCAGCTTTGAAATGCTGCACTCTTTTTCTGCCCAAGAGGTTTGTAATGAACCAGGCAAATGTGGGAGCGTACTGCCAGGTGTAGTAAAACAGGAGGAAGGGCTGCTTTGCAATCCACATTTCCTTCACATTATTGGCAATTCCCACCAGCATTAGACGCACACAGCGACTGGTTGCCATCTTGTGCTCCTGGTTACCAGCTGCAGCCACAGGCTTAGGAAAAGAGAAGGAAAATGTGTTACTGTAAACGCACTACTAAAATAGCTATGTTAAAAATCACAAGCTCTTTACTGAATACCCTTGTCAGTTCCTCTGTGAAGGCATTTTGGACAATCTGTGATTGCACAGGCCCAGGCAGCACAGTGCTGATGAGTATGTTTGGAAATTCAGTCAGCTCAGCCCGAAGGGAATTGAAGAAACCCTGTAAACAAAACAGTTACAATCAGCAGTAGTACACACAAAGGCCTGGACAGCTGATCAGCTGTAAAAGGTGTTTGTTTCACGTATAGAACTAATTAAGTTAAGTAGAGATCCAGATAAACCACACCTGCTGTTCTGTGAGTAAAATAAGTATCCTAAATCCGTTAATACACAGTCTGAAGACACTGGAGAAATTAAATCGGAAAGAAATATAATGTTTTGTGACTATTTTGGCTCTGATCCAACAGCTGCTATCTCAGAATCCTTACAGTTGCTCCATTTTAGAATCAAAATATATATACATTGAGAAGTTATAATAAAAAAAGTAAATACTTCTGTAAAAGTGTGTGCATTGTACTACAAAATATAACAGTAATTAATAAGGAAAATAGAAATGAAAAAACGTTTTAAAAAAAAAAGTATACAACAATCTATATCATTAGTCAATGATATAGCATAATGTAGGGCTGTGCGATTATGGCAAAAATCATAATCACGATTATTTTGGTCAATAATTGATATCACGATTATTAAATACGATTATTCATTGACTTTGAAAACATCCATTTAATGAACTTTAAAACAAATACAAATAATAATTTGAACAGTGTCTTTTTAACTGTTGATTACCCTGAACGTATAATTCAACTGAAAAACCAATACAAAAATAAATGATATCAAAATAATAAATACCAATAAACAAGATCAACAAATATTTCGGAGCACACTTCAACAAGCTACTAAACATATATAAATATGATAAATACAAATAAATTAGAATAAAATAAATTAGATCAAATATGTCACAACCTAGCAAAGCAAAATAATCGTTTTTTTCGATTATGTTGTTTTTGTAATTGTGGCAGGCCAAAATCGTAATTGCGATTAAAATACGATTAATTGCACAGCCCTAGCATAATGTATTCCCTTCACCTGAAGAGCATGTTTGCTGGCAGAGTATCCGGTTGCCAGGGGCGCCCCGGCGATGCCGACCAAGCTGCTGACGGTCACGATGCTCCCGCTGCCGCGCTGCGTCATGTGAGGCAGCACCTGCTTGGTGATGGAGACTGTACCCAGGAAGTTGAGCTCCATCAGAGCCTGATACACATCAAAACTGGTCTCCAAGCACAGAGAGCGCTGGCTTCGGCCGCCATTGTTAATTAGGACATCAATCTGAAGAGGAAAAGTGGACAAAACCAGGGAATAGCAAAACAGCATGATTTGAATTCCTTTTAAATTTAAAAGCATGGAGAGGCTGCTTTGACTTGGTCATAGTCACATTTGAGTTTAAGGACTAATGCACAGTAAAATGAAATGTTTAAGGATTGAATATACCTTCCTTCCAAGAAGACAAGAGGATGTCTATAATAGAAGTGAAATCCAGAAACCTGAATATTATAATTTATTTTAACTCATTATTAAAAGGAACACAATGACAATATCACCAGCTAAAAACAACAAACTAAAGAATGTTCCTCTCCCAACTGATAGCTTTGATAATTAATTATAAATGATCCTGTTGCAGTTAAACACTTGCAGTGTGAAAACACATTGTATTATAAGAGTAATTGCAGTGGCCTTACATGTCCAAAGAACTGAATCGCAACTTTGGTTTTTTCCTCATGTGATGTTCTCTCCAACAAATCAAGTGGAAGAACAAGTACATCTGCATCCTGGAGGTTGGAGCGCTCTTAAAGTAAATGACACAAATAATTGAGCTAGTCACAACAAAGGAAGACTGAATGAAAGTCAAATGAATACTCTGCCATAGGATTTTTTAACGAGGGGATAAAATAGCTTGAAAAAGAACTTTGAAACTTTCCTCACCTAAACAGCCACGTTTCACTCTATTCAGCTCATCCTCGCGCCGTGCAGACAGAATGAGGCGAGAGCCGCACTTTGCCAGCTGGTAGGCCAGCTCCTCTCCAATTCCACTGGAGGCTCCTGTGATCCACACCACCAGCCCCTTCAGCTTACTCTCTGGTTAACAAACGAGGGGGGGGAATGAATTTCAGCTGTACTCAACATCAACATTAACTCAGTTTAAAAAGAAAAGGACAGACGACCACTGGATCTGTTATCCTAGCATGAACATCCTAAGTAAAATAAGGACAGATATTTGTCTTTTTAACCCAATTTTGCCAAAATAATTGCAGAAGAACAAGTCATATTGCTTACACAAACCATCTTAGCTATATACACTACAATTGTATCAAAGTTTTTTATTTGGTGACCCATGTTTACCTATGTGTGTTGTCGTTGATAGTGGTGAAAAGTAACATTTACTTTCTGCTACATTGTACCTACAAATATTTGACTACAACAACATTTATTTGAAAGCAGTGGTAAATATTTGCAGTGAAGAATGTTTTCATTATAAAAACGTACAGAATCTTTTCAACCTTGGCCACCACAGAAAAATGAATCCTACACAAACTCCATCAGGAGCCATTATAGCCCAACCGTAGCTGGAATGTTGAGGTTGATGAGAAATTGACATTTGGGAGTTTAAAAAACCTTAGTAAAAAATATACTGGCAGTAGTGGTAGTATTTTAATTCATGTGGAAATGTTGGACCTTTAGGTTTTAGGGTTAGAGTCTTTGCTTTGGCTTAACAAAAAATAATAATAATAAAGTCACACACTTGTGTCATATTATGCATTAACTCAGCCAAGTTTTTTGGTATGGGAAAACATGTGAAAATGAATCCCGGATGTGCATCAGCTAAACTGGGGGGATTGAGAACATTTTAAGTATATATACAAGTGGAGTTTGATCTCTGAGGACCTCAATAGCACATGAGTAACATGGGTCACACATCAACAGCTAGCTAGTTATTCTTTAACGGTGGACATTGTGCGTGCAACGATAACTTGTTGGGAGATTTCTGGAAATTAGATGCCAATGACTTTTCCAGCTTTAATTTCAAACGGGTACATTTCGTTGTTTGTTAATAGGAAAAGGGACTCATTGGGAGTCATTATGACAGGTTATCTCACCTGGTCTGTGTCCGAACAGACTCGACCACAGCAGAGTGAAGTCTGCATCCGCGAAAATAAAACACAGGGAGTGAAGAAGTGCATAAAGTGATGCAAAACTCCCCAGTGCAGTTACAATGCAACAGTCCATTGGTTGAAAATAAATTAATACAGTTATGGTTTAAATTCAGTAGCTACTACTGCGTAATAAAGCTTCAGCCAAAACAATACTGCAGCTTAAGGATACAACGTCACTTCCGCTCGGATATTTTCAAAACTAAAGCTCGGCGCATGTCAGTTTTAAAAGAAGCAACGGCCACCAGCCAGCACCAACAAGATACATTAACATTCTAGGTGTGAAGCCAGTCCCATGTGATTTTTTAATTCTTAATCAATAAATCATAATTATAAAGGCAATCCATTGGATTTTTGAGGTTGTATTTAGGCTACATATTAGTCTGTATTTCTTTAGCAAATTCAGTTATGACCAGATTTTCTTGCAAGAAGGACCTGGGTAAAATGTGCAGTTTTGACCCCTTCAACAACCCCGCCTTCTCCCTTCTCAGTACAAAAATGTAGGTACAATAAGGGCCTCTAATTATAAAATCTGCATAATTTAGAGACGGAAAATGTGTCCATTGCATATAATGTGCCACAACTTAATCTGAAATATACATATTAAGGATCCAGTGTGTTAGATTTTAGGAGGATCTTTTAGCAGAAAATAGTATAATATTTATTTTATATAGACAATAAATGCTAAACACTGGACCTTTAAAACGTGACGTAGGTCCTGTAATGTACAAGCTAAATATCAGAATATCAGATTTGGGAGCTCATGTTTTTCTGCATACATGCCTCCTGCGCAGCGACTCAACTCAGGGATGATGTCATGTTTTCTAGTACGCAACCTGCAACATCCGGGTCCTCGGTCCTCGGTCTGGGTCTGTGGCTTTATATACAGTCTATGGTCTGTGGCTGTTACGTTAAAAGAATGGCTGACTTGAAGCAACTTTATTCAAAACATATACAGTGACAAATGAAATGTTATAAAATGACGACAGAATATACCTTTGTTCACCTTTAACATCTGTTTAAGAGAGGAACAATATTTGACGAGGGGTTTGTATTATTCATGATCATGATGATGTTATTCTAACCCTAACCCTTTTAACTAGAAATTTAAAAAAAATCTTGTTTTACACTATCCTGTTTTGAAATAGAAGGAATCTGTATTTATGGATCTGGTATGCATAAGAAATTACGTACATTAATATAGCATAGGTGACAATTATTTACTTTTAAAACTTGTTCTGAATAAATCCTTTGAATCATACATTTTGTTTATAGCTTTTAATGTATTTCTTTATATTATGATGAATTAGAACGTTTAGGAAATATGTTGTTATATTCAATGTGTCACTTTCCCCGTTGTTTTTAAGATTGTGTTTACCAAATAATGCCTCAGACATTGTTATCCCGGAAGTTGTAATGACGCAGTGCAGCCACTACACCGTCCCCGGGGCTCGCTGCTCCTCCGAAGCTAACGTTAGCTAGCAAGCTGTCAAGCTGTCTAGTGGAGAGGCTGAGACAGACGTTTCAGCTTCCCCCCTGGCTTGGCCACGCAAAGCTCCGGCCCACAAATTCCCTGAAAAATCTGTCAGAATATACTTTATATCGCCAGCTGAGATAATGTAATGCATCACGGGCATACGCAAAGAGGGACCTCCGCACTTACACCATTTATATGCACTGAATCCCGAGTGACGACTGCTCTCATTGCTAGCTAACTGGCTAGCTAGCCTAGCTAACCTCCGCAAACCCCCCAGTTTCGTCGGTGTACACTCTCAGGTGTGAAGGGAGGCCATTCAGTCCTCGTCACGGTTGCAGTTTCCGTTGCTGTCAGCTTGTATTTCGGATATTTGGTAAGTCATACAATGTTTTCTTTAAAGCGAGCAGCGGTACAGGAACGTTTGGCAGTTAGCTGTCCTAGCCGTGTTAGCATTTGACGCTGGCGATAATACGTTAGCAAGGCCGAGGGCTCTCCTTTCCTTAACATAACGTTAGCAAACCATGGTGGAGGGAGGCCTGTCAAAGTTAGCTGTGAGGGACAAGGGTCAAGGCCCGTATCTAGGCAAGGCTGTTTGTTTATTTGGGTTGTGGTCTGAACTTGCTAAATAGCTAACTTTTTCCGTAAATCTAAGAGCAAAATCTATCCTTAATGAGCAGGTTCATGTTGTGTATTAGCTCACCTTAACGTTAGCATTAATGTTGGATTTTGAAGAGCTCCTGAAATTGTTTTGTGGTTGATTTTGAGTAACTGGTCAGTCGGTTAGCTGATGTTAGCTCTGCAGGCATGTAACGATAGCTTTACCTAACACAACCCGACTAGCTACTATGGTGAAGTGTTGTGCACCGCGAAGGTCAGAGAGCTGCCCAATGGTGTATTCAAAAAATAACAACGTGTGTTACATTATAGTCACAACATTACATAAGATCGATCAGGCACTGGCTTAAGGGCGTTTCAATCCGACCCATAATAGCAGTGTACCCTAATATGTAGTCAGAATGTGTACACATGTCTACTATTTTTAGATTAGAGCATGGTGCCTGAACTGAGCTCTAATATACTCCAATATACTAATCTTTGCAACAATTGGTTGAAATACGTACTTTTTTTTTTAACCCGCTTTAATAGAACACTGTGTCCTTATTGGCACTAGATATGCAGTACTATTTGATGTAAATGTCCTTTAATAGTATGCCTTTTGCATTATTACATGATTAGAAGCTGAATATTGCCACAATTCTTAAATTATTTGCATTATTAGGAAACACTAAATTTTTGTCATATCTTTTATATTGATTTATGTCTTTTCATTTGTGTCACAGTTCTTAAGAAGTACACAATGGGTGCATTTCTGGACAAACCAAAGATGGAAAAATACAATTCCCGTGGTGAAGGCAACAACGTGAGATATGGGCTGAGTAGCATGCAGGGTTGGCGGGTAGAGATGGAAGATGCACACACAGCAGTAATTGGTCTGCCTCATGGTCTCGACCCCTGGTCATTCTTTGCTGTTTATGATGGGCACGCTGGCTCACAGGTGGCCAAGTACTGCTGTGAGCACCTGCTCGAGCACATCACCAGCAACCCAGACTTCCAGAGTGCTCTACAGGAAGACCCCTCTGTCGACAGCATCAAGACTGGGATCCGCACGGGCTTTCTGCAGATTGATGAGCACATGCGAAGCATGTCTGAGAAAAAGCATGGCGTGGACCGCAGTGGTTCCACTGCAGTGGGAGTGATGATTGCTCCAAACCATACCTACTTTATCAACTGTGGCGACTCACGGGGACTCCTCAGCCGGGGTGGAGCGGTGCACTTCTTCACACAGGATCACAAACCCAGCAACCCTTTGGAGAAGGAAAGGATCCAGAATGCCGGTGGATCAGTCATGATCCAGCGAGTAAATGGGTCTCTAGCTGTGTCTCGGGCTTTGGGAGACTTCGACTACAAGTGCGTGCATGGAAAAGGCCCGACGGAGCAGCTTGTTTCTCCTGAGCCCGAAGTTTATGCAATAGAGAGATGTGAGGGGGAAGATGAATTCATTATACTAGCTTGTGATGGCATCTGGGATGTCATGGCCAATGAGGAACTGTGTGACTTTGTCAGGTCAAGGCTAGAGGTGACTGATGATCTTGAAAGAGTCAGCAATGAAATTGTTGACACCTGCTTGTACAAGGTATGGCATGTCCACAAAACTTGCATTGACATTTTGTGATGTTTGTTTTGGTAATGTTGTTGATTACCATGACCTCTGTGTTTGTTATTTATTCCTCAACAGGGAAGCAGGGACAATATGAGTGTTGTGTTGATCTGCCTTCCTGGGGCACCAAAGGTTTCTCCAGAAGCAGTGAAACGGGAGGCTGAGCTGGATAAATACCTGGAGGGCAGAGTAGAAGGTAAGAAAGCAAAAATATATTTGGGGTTAGTTTACAACCATAGAACATGGGATATTGACATAATAATACTTTTCCCTTTTGGTATCATAGTTTCTTTGGTCAGTGTAAACCCCATGTTTTCTTTCTAGTTTACATAACGTTTTGAATAATGTTAGCCTTATTAACATCTAGGCTTATTGGAAAATATAACGTTTGCTAATGCTTTCATGCCAAAGAAACAACACTGTTGTTTCAGAGAACATACATTGGTCTGCAGAAACAAAATAAATAGGCAACTTCTTAATATGGCAGATTATTGTTATCTGTGTAATCACTGGGCATTTGTAAATGTCTAATGCATCTTAATTAGGTCACGCACAACATATGGGGTTGATCATTATGCTGGATTTTCAAAATTATCCAACAGAATAACCCATCCCAGTTGTTTTCAAATGTCTTTGTCATAGCATTTGATTCTGTCACTAACTAAAATACCTTGCAATTCATACCTGACATTTACTGTAATGTCATGTTAGAAAAAGGAATCCCCCACACTAGATGTGTTTATGTTCAGTAGACTTTCATCAAGTACATTCAAGGTGTAAAATACAAGGCCATTCATTACATTTACCTTTTTAAGCAAAGAACCTCAGTATCTATTTACCATAACAATACAATTTTGAAAACTGATGGTGACATATTTAAATTTTGGAGGCCATTCTATGAATTAAACTTACACTTATTGTTAAATGCTGACTTGACAATGTGGAAAAAGTACTTCAACCTTTCTGGTTAATAATTGTCTATTGTTGTTACAGTAGTTGGCAATAAGTCTAAAAAATCATTACCACTGCATTTCATTGTTACACTACTATTCCTTTATGGTTTCTCACTGGAGCTAGAGAAAAAGAAAAGGGAAGTCCATTTATTTCATATGGGCTACAAATGTGAATCACAACATCACCTCAAATAGCTTTACAATCAATATAGCATTCAGAAGTCACTATCCGTAGGCTGTCAATTCAGACACACGTGCTATACTGTAGATGTTGTGTGTATATATAGAAACTTTCATTAAGAAGCAGTCGGGCACTTAACCTTGGCTTCTCCACACTTAATGCCCTGTCCTGCATTCAAACGACACTAGAGAAAGAAAACACCTTGTAAAATACCACGGCACATGCAAACTTTGATGCTCTCAAGACAACTACCATTTGAAAATGGCCGAGGCCCGGTTTAAGTGGAATTCACATGTTTAAAAATGACTTTGTCGGTATAAGAGACCCAATGATTGGCCCCAGCGAGTATGTGGGCGAGGATTGTAAATCCTCGATGTAGAGAAGAAATTTGCTGTAAAGTTGTCTTGTGTTATTAAATATAGTGTTTTTTAATCCAGACCTAGTAGTAATAATAAGAATAATAACAACCAAGCACCAACCTCTATGCTTAAATCTAAGCTTGATAATGGTCGAATGCACTTATTGTAAGTCGCTTTGGATAAAAGCGTCAGCTAAATGCAATGTAATGTAATAGTGACCTTTTTAAGAAAGAGATGTTTCAACCATAATTATTCTCTAACTCTCTAATCTTATTCTTCCAACAGAGATCATCAAAAAGCAGGGGGATGAAGGTGTCCCGGATTTGGTCCATGTTATGCGCACGTTAGCATCTGAGAGCGTCCCTAACCTCCCTCCTGGAGGGGAGCTGGCAAGCAAGTGAGTGAGCTTTGTGCTTAGAATAGATGAAAATGATGGTATCAATAACCTCTAAAATGTTTGTTTTTTCTTGCCCTCAGACGAAGTGTTATTGAAGCAGTGTACAACAAACTCAACCCCTACCGAAGTGATGACACAGTAAGTATCCCAACTCTTCTTCTAACTCCCTGAAGGTGGGCTTGGCGTGTAGCATGCATGCTTTTTGACGTGTGACCAGCTAAATCTTAACCAATTTATGCATGTTATTAGTATTCAACAAGATGGAACAAAGAAATAGGCCTGTTGCCAGGTCTAATTAAAAAAAAAACGTTACAGACCTGCATAGCGACCTTTCTATGGTTGTCTCATTGCCTTTTGTCCCGTTCATGTGAATCTGAAAAACAGAAAATTTTATTAATATTCTATGTTACTTTGTGATACCATATATATATTTTTCAAGGCTAACACCTTACTTCGTTCAATTTTTACCATGGAACACAATTGCATTGCGGTCCGAGGCCAAAAAGGCTGACTTTCATTCCACATGAGCTGATTTCACTAATTAGAGCTCTTTTAAATCAAAGAGGGAAGAGCTAATAAGCAAACATGTCTGGTATTTGTGTGGATGGGCTAAACAATCTGGACTCTCTTACAACATGGTTTCGAAGAGGAACATTGCATATCATTCCTTTATATACAAACGGACCAGAAAACGGTCGCCTCTTCCACTCAGATATCATGCTTTTGAATTTACCTCAGATAAGCTCACTGGGTCAGCTCATTTGAATTAGGCATATTTTATCTTGTCCTTGACTGTGCAAATTAGGACTTTGTTTCAGTGTTTCATGTTTGCATAGAGATAGACTTTAGGAATTACTTTTCTCACATTCAGTTTTGGGGAAATGAAGGTACCTTCAGAGAGCGTTCGGGCCCCTTGACCTCCTCTGTATTATGTGGTGCTGCCTGAATACACAATGGGCTAAATAGACACAAAGCTTTCTATGGATTAGGTGAAATTAGTTTCTTTTAAATGTTTGCAAATGTTTTCAAATCATCTATAAAACACTTAATACAGTATTTCTTACCATATTCAACCTTTTTTGGAGAGCGTAGTCATTTGAACCACCTTTTTAGCAGCATTTGCACTTTCAGTTCTTCTTGGACAACTATTTATAATCTTTGCACACAAAGTTATTAAAAAGAATCTAATTGAAATGTGATGTTTCGCACAGCCCCCAAAAGAGTTAAACGTTATTGTTCTGAAGCCATTCTGCGTCTTTTCTGAGCCCAATTGTTCCTAATGATGAGAGGGCGTATGAGAGGCCATGAGAAAAAGCTGCTGCAACCAGCCGCTCTATCCTAAGCTCTATATGTCAGACAGACAGTATAATAACAAAAAACCCATTTGTTGGAGGAGTTGTCTTTCAACTGATCATCCTCTTGGCTCTACGGCTGTCAGGTTGAGCAGTGACAAGCACATTTATACTGAAGTAAAACTAAGAATGCAAGCATCCTCTGGTTGCTTCATATGGGGAAAAGTCAAACTAATGGATAATAAAAAGAAAGAAGGTGAAGCTTGTCTTATATTGACAGTCAATGTGGGGACTGCTGTCAAAATATTGTCAGAGACATATTAAAAGAAATTCCCAAATGTACTCTCTTGGTATTTCCTAGCAGTTTCTCCTTAAGAATATATCTAGCGTGCTTTATTGTTAGAACCCTTACCTTAGTGAAACTATGTGGTGTACGATGCTCAATAGAGAGACAACAGGACCCTGCAGCCGTAATGCTGCGCTATGTCTGAAGAGTTTGGTGGTCTTTTCATTAGACCACACAGCTCTTTTTGCCTTGTGCTGTCAGTCTAACTTGCCTCCTTTCAAACCTCAGACATTATGTCATGCAGCCCTTTGTTGTTTTTTATTCAATCTATTTTTTAAATTCCTCTAGTGACATCTCTTATCCTCCCTTTCACATGTTGCTCTGAACAGATAGTGCCTTGTTGCTTGGTTTGGATTTATCGATCTAGCTCGTTCTGGCTCTCAGTTGTTCAGGAAAGACCTTTACATGAACAGGTCATGTTTTGGAGAGTATGTCCTTATGAAGACAGAGGGTTAGAGCAGTGACAACAAATCCTAATAGCCCATTATAAACTCTGGTAGCACCACAAAATACAGAAAAGGTTGGGGGATATGTCAATAAGGCTGTTGCAATTGTATCACATTAATTAGTAAAAGTGTCAGTGTAAAAGAACAAGTGTAAAAAAACACCATCTTATCATAAATCCTTAGAAGAGAGGATGCCAGATGTAGACCTGAACACATTGACTGCATACAGTGGTGGGTGTCAAAGATCAGCCAAGCTCAATATACTGGTCTGCTCTATTGTGTGCAATCTGTGACTAACCTTGGACATTTTGTGCTAGGTATGAAATAATAACTAGAAAAACTTCCAGTATTATGTACCTACATTCAGATGGGCTACTGTTCTTCTCTATCTTTTCTTTGTCCTGTTATAAAATGACAATAACAGAACAGAAGCTACTATAATGATAATATTATTGACATTTGAAACGGGAGCGTTGTTTTTGCTTTTTTGCTAAATTCTCTAAACATCTCAATCAAGCAATTACATGTTTGGCAGTTTTCTTTGTTTGTAATAAGGGAAAGTAACAAGTCAAAACAATTCCTTTCCATACAAATCACAGCAGTATTCGAGGCTTTTTAACAAGGTAGAAGTTTAAGGAGCAATAGATCATGTGAAAACTATTTATTTTATCCATAAAGAAAGATAACAAAAAGGTTACTTTGAAAAGAATTATCAACTTAAGTACGGATCTGTACCGCTATATCTGTGTACTAATACTTTGGTACATAGAATAACAATTAGACTTTCTTGTAAACCCGAAAGTTAAAGAGTAAGTACGACAACCAAATGAATAATAATAATATTCTATTCCCAATCCCAAGTCCTCTTGGATCGGTTATTTGCCCGGTACCAAGTCCTTTTCAAAACGTATATTAACTGTAATGGCATAGATGCCTAGTGCACAATCAAACTACAACATCAACATTTGATGATATAGAATTTAACTTACCCCCTAAAAAAAAAAAATGCTCTGTGTATGAAATAAACATAGTTAAATAGCAGCAAAGATAATAAGTGTTATTATGTATCCGGCACATTCAAAGCAAGCGTAGCATACAACATCTCTTTAGGATTTATGCCTCAAATTCCAGTTCTAAACTAAATATTACTTTTAATTTTAACACGTGGCAAAAATGTTCTCACTGTAGAACCCAGCTGTAACAAAGAGAACCGACTTACAGTCAAATTACGGAAGTTTGTCTGGTTGAATTTTTGCTGGTACTCTATTCAAATCAGCCCAGATCAGCCCTGATACTAATCTTAAGGATTGGCTTTTGAATACTAGTGGCCTATCATGCAGGTAGAGCTGAAACAACATGGCAGTTACAACAGTCATGAGAATAATGCCAGTCATTGTGACTATGTGCTTTAACTCTTAGCAAGAAGCTACTGCACTAATCTATTTTCACAATAACTGTTCCAGCCCAAATGATTGATGCCAAGTCTATGCCTGAACATGCAGTGAAAGGTCATTAGGTCTATGTGAAAAATAAGTCTGAACAAGTTCACACAAACTCGTTATTCACCATCAAACCGACCTAATAGCTGTGGCAAGTTACAAGAGTTGCCTAACATTGCCACAAAAATACATCAGTAAAAAGTCTGAAGAAGCAATACAGTCTGCTCTATCATTGGTTGTATACATCTTATGTTTGTGTGAATAATTGATTATTTGCAGTTTTAAATTGTAGCTTCTCATTTATTTGTACCCACATTAAGAAAGACAGTTATATCATACTTGTATTGCATATGATTTATAGCTGCATAATGCTGTAGCTTGGTTTAATATATGTTAAAACGTATAAACAAATATAAATATAGCAACCAATTTAAGTGATCTCTTGACTGGTGGATTTGGATAGATGAAAGGATGCTAAAATAATATTAATACTGCTTAACGGCTTTTTATATCTTGTTGAAAAAGAGATATTTGAAACAACAAACATGCTAATATTGTGTCAGATATTGCTAATATAGCTTCAGCCCCTACTTGTTGCGTATTCGATAAACAATGATACACGGCACGCTGACCTTATACACAGTTGCTGAGTAATGAATGTTTTAAATAGCAATGGTATATAGATGTGTTACACACTTGAGAAGTTGATTACCGCAGCATTTTAAAAAGCCTCTAGGATATTTGGGGAAATACCGCTGTTGAATCTGAACCCCTGGATGATTTGTGTTCTGTCAGTGTGTGTCATACATGCTTAAAGCTCTCCAGCTGTTGGTAGAGATGTGATGGTTTTTAGAGCCAGTCTGAAGGGTTTCTCCTTCCTCTCCTCTCTCATCAAGGACTCTGCGTCCACAGACGACATGTGGTAACACAACCTCCCACCACTAACACAGCATAGAGTTTACAACCACCATCCTCTCCAGACCCACAGCAGCTCAGCAGTCTGTCTCCGTCACTCGGAGCTTTTGGTTTCTAAGAAGGGAATTTCATGGGAGGAAGAAGAGGAGTTGCATGCACACAAACCTGGAATAGTGCAGCACCAGTCCACTCTGGAGTTCAGGATCCCCACCGTCTTGTCTCCCCCCTTTATGTTCACCCCTCCCCTTGATACTCTCCTCTAAAGTAACCCATAACAAGTGAGTCCCCAAGGTTTTCTTTATTTTTGTTAGATAATCAGCTTAAGTAGTCAGATTTTTTTGTTGTTGCTGTAATTAATTTGATTCACATTTCCTTGTGTGTGTTTGTATATTTCTGTTTTTTGTGAAGTGCAATTGTCCTGTACAAACAGCCTGTATTTAATGCAGCTTGATTTTAAGTTAAAAAATGAAAGAAATGAAAAAGAGAACCTTTTATGCACTATCTGCCTTTTCCTGCTCTTCTGGAATTGTATCAAATGTCTATTCAGTGAATATTACTGCTTGTCCTCCAGGCACAATGTCTCTGCGCTTTTACAGTACTTTCCCTTTTCCCCCTTTCAGTTAGTCTATGCTCCTTTTTAAGAAACGGGTAAATTGTATAGTTGACAGCACACTAAGCTCTATATCAAACCATTTAAATCCTAATTATTTTTCCCCTGTGCTTTTTTTATTGTATTTTATTTTTGTAAGTGGTTTTCTGTATATGCTCAAATAATAATGGCAAAGTGTTTCTCGAGTCATTTTGGAAGTTTGAAATGAAATTTTTTTTTTTTGAGGCATCTGATAAAAATAAGACCCCGGTTAACACATTTGTCTGTGCAAATAGATACTTGCAAGCGTGCGTGGGTGCTTGTGTGTATGTATGTGCGCACGTGTGTCAGTGTAAAGGCAGATCTGTGTGTGCAACTCTAATTTAAATCTAACTAGGGTGGATTGGTCAGACCAGGCTGGAGTTTAAGGGAATCTCCTCCCAGTGCTTTCCCTCCGTCTGCCCTTTCTCAGCCAGTGTTCCACTTCCACCCAGCAGAGGCTTTCACTACTTCCTATTCCAAAACGTTTGGGATAACAGAGTTTACATGCTGTAACGCTATCTGAACAACATCAAGCTATATATCAGAACTATACAGTAACCTGAGATGACACAAGTAGTTCAATTTACCCAACGTGTATAATGCATTGCAGTTAGTCAAGTCTAGACTAGTTTACACATCTATTGTGTCATATTGAAATATCAGTTTCTTAACATACATTGTTACCAGTACCCACTGTGGGTGCCATATGATTTATATCACTTTTTTCAGCTTTATGACAGCCTATGCCAAGTTTCTTTTTCATGAGATTCAGATTTTGCATGTGGTACAGATACATTTTTAACTTCTACCTTTTAACAACTGATCATTTTACAGGATTACCAGTCAGATAATAGGACAAACAACAAGGCTACTTTTATTCTTCACAGGGGTTTTAGTCAGACATATAAACCAAGAACAAATCTGCCTACTGCGATGAGTTCTCATGGTTGTACAGCACCTTTTTATTCCTACAGAGTGCTCTGCCCAACCCCCCCCCCCCCCCAGCACCACAAGCCAGAGCACAACAGTTTGCTGCTACAGTGTGTGATCTGCGGGTTGATTCGTACTCGCTAGTTGATTTACCCCTCTGAAAAGATGAATAGTCTCTGACTAAATCTGTTTTTAACACACAGTAGATATATTTCTTGAAGAGAAATGGTTTTATTTCGGATTTATTTTCTGCCATTTTTGTCTAAAATTGCATTGTTGGAAATTAATGTATGTATATATTTTTGACTTAAACTTTCAAGGAATAAATCATGTCGCTTGAGTTAGTTTTTTGCCATGGACAAAATGTGATTCTGGTTTGTTTTGGGATGGACTAACGGTTCCCTCTAGTCACTCTGGTGTCCCTCTGATCAACACTGAGGGTTTTAACGTTTATAAAATACACAATAATAATGTACTAAATGTGCAACTCCTCGATTATTAAAAAGACAATCCTAACACTTTCACCGCATTTAGGTTTGTGGTGGTAGCTCGTTTTCAAATCTTTAATATGCTTTTGTGGCAAAACGGCCAAAGACACTCAATTATTTTTTAATAAAGCTATTTACATTTTTTTAATTATCTATATCACAAGTAACAATATAAAGTAGATCCCTTTTAAAGAATAGGTTTAAGGGTACTCTGTGGATGCATTTTGGTAAGAAGTGTTGAATGTAAACCTAAGTGTGTTTACACTGACCTCCACAGGGTTTCTTTTAAACAGCCGTAAACAAATCAATATGAACCTAGTCATTGAGCAGATTGCTTTCTATTTATTTGCATGGAAATGTGGTTTCCTCAATACGGCCTCCCCTTCAAAATAAACTCAAATGCAATAAAAAACAGAGCAGTAAAAACATTGTTCAATTATATACAAATTGCAGTATTGATTATCTACAATACTCACAAAACCTATTGTGCTCTTGTAAAATATAAACTTCAAGCCAGTTGATTCAGTAGGTTTGAGAGAAGACTAAATGTAATCAAAATGCCTTTTTGTGTTTAGATGAGTTTTATTTTGCGATGCATTGCTTGTATTTGTATTAAGTGAGTGCACTAATCGTCTCTTGTCAAACACTTATCAGCACCCATTGTTGATGACGACTCTTGAAGCAACATTTCATGCCGTTGTTCTTCACGCTTAATGAGGAACAAACTATATTTATATTCATCTCGAGGCCATCGATACCCCCCCACGCCCCTGGATAGTCCCGCGTTGCCCTAGAGATTTTAAATTCAGGCTGTGGCCGCTAAACGATGCTGGTTAATTATCCATTTCTATAACGGCCCACAGAATGAAAAATGTAGAAATAAGCTTTTCAAGATTGCTGTAGCTGAAGTGTTAGTCGATACTGAGAGTTGCTTGGGTGTGATTTATTACATATGTGCATTTTGTTGAAATCATGTAAAATATCACATCCCTATTTGTCCCACATCCCCAGTCCCCCTAAAAAAATCTTCCAAACATTTATTCTCCTTGTTTTATTTTTTCTTGAACTGAAATACCTCATAACATGTATAGGAAGTGTTTGTCTTGTGTTATGTAGATCCAAACTGTTCAGAGAGAGGGAGAAAGCATTTGTTTTTGTGGCCCTAAGACTTTTTGATTTGAACACTGATCTATTTGAGTGGAATAAGCCTGTGCTCGTGTACAGTATTTGACTGAATTGTGCTGATGTTAACGAAGCGATTTAAGTGGCTACTGCAAATACAACTTACTTTAGTCACTAGTAACACTATTGGCCTTGTCGTATAAGCTACCCCCCCCCCCCTAAAAAACAACCTAAAAAAACAACGCCCTACACGCTCACCACCTTGTCTACTTGTGTGAAGCTCACTTAGTTTAAAATCTAGAATTGTATCGAGAGTTCAGGGTTTTAGAAATGTGGGAAGTGACAAAATGACAAAAATCATATGCACTGATCATGTATAATCATCTTTTTTGTTTTTTTAGAAAATTGTTATTGTAGAAAAAAAGATGATAAAGCTATTAACAGAGTTACCTTTGGTTGCCTGGAATGCATCCTGTATATTCTTGTACGGAGGACAACCTGGCAGACGTTGAAGAGATTTGAAATTCTTGCGCCCACTTGTACATATCGATGTACCTCGCTTGTGGCGTTTACTGTGTGACCCTTAGCAGTTGAGGTTTATTCGTCCCCTCACAGGGCGACCTGAGCCTCACTTTGCTGACCTTTTTCAGCTCGTAAATAAGCTCACCGATTTGCCTTACCCAATCTCATGTTGCCCCGCTAAAGTACTGGTTCAATAAAACACTATGAAGAGGAATTCTGCTCTCCTAGATTCAAAACCCCCATGTTAGGGTACGTCAGCGATCAACAAAGTGACTTTGTTCTGGTTGTCACATGGTACAACTTTACAACCATCGCTGGTTTGTATGCTATTTCCCCCCCCCATGTTACCTTTTTCAAATCTCGGTCTTGAAAGCTTATTTAATTTTTCACTGCATATGATGTCATACTTTTAACCAATGCAAGTGTTTTGACATGGTAACCTCGTAAGCATTCAAAATGTGCATACATACATTCATGTCTGCTATATTTATGATTACATTCAAGAATAGCTTTAGAGTGCTGTAGATAAGTATTGTCAATGTTGATTCAAATGCTTCTCAGAGGCCTCTGTGAGTGATTTTACAAAGTTCAATAATTGTATATTTTGTATTATGTTCTAGCTCCAAAGGAATGGCAGAAAAAAAGAAAATGTTTAAAAAAGCTTTGTTCCCTGAACTAAATTGTACTATTTGTGTTGTCGATTGAACAAATTGCATTCCTTGCTTGTGAATTGATGCATTTCTCTCCCTGCTCCTTACATCTTCTCCCCTTCTTCCCCGCCTTTCTTTCATTTTTTAGCCTTTGAAGTTTGAATAAAATTTCTAGTTTGCAGAATGTATTACTAAATAAATGGGTTGTCATCTTGTACCTCTCAATTCATCACTTTCTTTTTGGGCCTGTTGCACAAGCAACACCTTCTTTCATTGTAAAGAAAAACAACTTGAAAGAAATTCTCACAGTTTCTACAGAAAAAGTTACATTATATTACTAAATAGTATGCGTAAATTGTTGAAAACAGGAGTGAATAGAACACAGTTCAAACTTGCTTTTTAAAATCAGTTTTGTAATGTAATCTGTTACTAGCTTTGCACCATCCTAACACTTGAACATGCATTAGAGTAAGTTTAGGGCTTGAGTGCAAACGTAAATCTTCAAAATTGTGATACTATTTACAAAGTATAACATGTAACGCAGGCTTTTTTTCTTATAATCACACGACTCTAGAGACAACTTGAATGTTAAAATGTAGAAGTTTACTGTAAATGAATGGTGTTCAGTCCTCGTGTTAGCGCTGGTTTGTGCCTCCCATGTATTGCCATTAGATTCTAGTTAGAGCTGTATATATAGGATCTTCAAAAAAAAGAAACACCTGGCAAGTTCATATAACAGCATTATATATGTTGTGAAGGTATCCTCAAAGGCGAACACTACATAAATCATTGCAATATTTAATTTACATGATCAAATTCACAGTTGTATGAGTCTCAAACGGTTTCCTTAATGTAAAGTCTGTATCTGCTCCATATGAAAAGAGACTGATTTTGTGATTCCACACAAAGTTAGTTTTCTCTATACCCAAATCCTCTTTATTCTATCAGTGTTCTCTGTTCTTAAACAGAAAATGGCACATATACACAGAACAAACCTCTTGGTTTCTCTGTCATAACGTGTTTACAGATTAATTGAGTTTTGGAACCCTAGTTTTGGGATTTGGGAGAAAGTTGTTCATGTACACAAATACATTTTTAGTTTTAGAGTGTAGGAATAATCTAAAATAAATAAAAATGGGTAGTTCCCCTTTCAAGATTTGTCCCACATCTGGATGAAAAAGTATTTCACCCACAGCATGACAACTTTTAACCCATTCCTTAACTTGCGCCTTTTTCCTAATCTAAAGATGTTTGCTAAAAATGACATGTCCTAGATCAATTTGTGAAACCAAAATGAAAAAAAAGATCATTGTTTTTATGTATTGAATGAAAATGTTAGCAAGGACAGATTTTATTTGTATCACTTAAGAAATGGGTTAAAAATGGTAGAATATTTTTTCACCTATTTTTGGGTCTTTAATTGTATTTAAATGAACTGTGTTTTTTCAAAAATTGCCAGTTCATTGTTTTTGGGGAAAAATATAATGGTAAACATGAGAGGAACAATCAGGGGCTGTCCTTCAATGTCTGTGCTCGCAGTGTGTGTAAAAACTAACACGCCCTGTACGCAGCGTGTTCCTGAGCCCCATGTGCTCCTGAAGCTCAGTGCTGTTGTTGACTGGTCTCCCTGCCTTTTCTGTCAGTGTGTGCTGAGTGCATGTCAGGTTCTTGAGCTCAGACGGTGGGTCATGGCGGTCCACGGCCACCGGGATTAAGAACCGTGGGAGGGATTACTTCAAATGTCAACATAATGTCATGAGCTGTGTTAGAAGGTCAAACGTTCAAACGGTGCTCAGTGGCGAGCAGTTAATAGATCAGGTACAATTTGGATTGTTGTGGCTCCTGTGAGGAATTGACTGGCATGCTAAAACAAGCTTCTTTAGGAGATATGTTTCTGTATTCTTGTAATTCAAGTTTTTTATTTATGAACATACATGGTACATTGCACATGGTACAGCATACATGAGGAAGGTCAGGCTACCCAACATGTTAGTTAAGTGTTCCTGGTTAAAAGAAAACAGAAAAATACAAAGGTGTAAGATTACCAATCAGACACTACAGCAATCATAAAATAAAATGTGAGAGTCCTACAGTCAGGCTAGTTAGAGGTCAGGTATTCCACAAAGTAATCCCAATTTCCTAGAACCACAGGTCATTGTTCTGTATTCTTTAAAGAAACTGAAGACAGATTAGATGCAGTATGCAGTTTAGAGTTTGCAAATATGTATGTATTCAGGAGAATATATAAAAAATAAAAAAACATTTCTCAGTCAGTGGATATCAATGATTAGATACAACCTTTAAAAATGTATCCCAGCTTTGTTTTATGACTCAATGTCTGACTGATCAATACTCTAACAGGATCCTAATCCAGCAGCCAGTAAACCAGAGGGGGGCAGTGTTAATAGCTGAGACTGCGCAGGAACACCAGCTCTGAAAGTTAATTGATGGAAACAGTCAGTGTTTCTTTTATTAAGTAGATGTAGCTGACATCTTTGAATGAAATAACAGCACTTTAACACTCGACTTTAAAGTCACATCACACTGAATATCTGGTATGTTAATGGTCATTGCCCTCGTGTTGTTGCCTTTTTAGCCTCTTCTTATTAAATATGTCCCCTCTGTTGCTTTGGAAACCTTTTAGCTAGTAGATTAATGTGCTAAAAAATTAAGAAACATTTTCACAACTAAATTGAGAAAAATAATAACTCTGATCTAAAACAAGCTTGTTATTTTTCGACCTGTACATAACTCTGGGAACCATTTGCCCGTTAGAACTGAACAAAATGTGGCTCATTAGATCCCGGGCCACCTGTGCACCCCTAATGAATCACTCTGCCCTTATATTCCCCCCCCCCCCCCCCAAAAAAAGCGTCCACGTCGGAAGAGGCCATCATCAAATGGAGCTGGCTCGTCATCTGCCTGCCATTGTTTAGCGCATGTCATGCTCTGCTTCTCATGGCGGAAAAAACCCATTTGAGCCTGACTAATGCAGCCATGCAGACGCAGCAGTACGAGGTGGGGGTGGGGGGGCACACCGCGTACTATGCGTGGATGGTCTCTGCACTGAGGTCACTGAGCTCCACATTTGCTAATTTGCTTTGGTGTGCACTGGGAGCCAGATTTTTCAGGGTTGATCTGTACAAAAAAAAGGAGAAATATATATTTAGATTGAGTTAAGGCAAAGAAGGGACGACTGGTAGTTTGTGTACGACATAGCTAGGATCAAACCCAACATTTGCCCTGCTGTCTTTATATGGCATCTTCTTCTTCTTCTTCCCCCTCCACTATGCTGCTTTCCTTCTCCATTTCCTCTTTCTGTGAGTGTTCTTGTTGCCCGAGGTCAGTTTGTCACAGAGAACACAAGCTTTTCTCACTTGGTTGCAGCGATTCAATGATTGGTGTGTACAAACAAGCATATCAAGCAGAGATGACATGTACCCTCCCTCCCCCCTCACGCCCTCCTCTCTCCTGCGGACATGTCCTTCCTGCTCTTTCTCTCTCTCTCTCTCTCTCTCTCTCTCTCTCTCTCTCTCTCTCTCTCTCTCTCTCTCTCTCTCTATCTCTCTCTCTCTCTCTCTCTCTCTCTCTCTCTCTCTCTCTCTCTCTCTGTCTCTCACTTACACTTGGTGGGAGTGAGCGTCCCCTTGCATGAGGTGTGTTTTACACAAGCTGCTGCCCTGGGAATCCCGGGCCAGCTCATTATCCCGCACCCCTGAGACACAGCTCACTGTAAATTAGGACATCAAACGCTGCAGACTTGTTAGAGAGCCACAGATAAACTCATTAGCATCAGCACCTCTCCTTGTTAGGGCCTGTATCAGCGCTGGCTCCCACCGCCACGTTGCGTCCTGTCATTCCTCCACACTGACGGAGAGCTTTAGGATGAATGTCAGCCGTAGCCAGCAGGTCAGCCCTGTTGTGGTTCTGATGGATCAGTGGTGGCGGAAAGCTGTGGTAACTGTTGACAGCTGCCCACTATCCCCACCGCTCGTATCCATATTTCATTGTGTGGAGAAGCGGGAGAGAAATCTCGTCTGGCAAGTGGCTAGCTGTGTGTCACAGCTGCAGGGGGTAGACAACATGACTGAAACCCCTTTCACTGCAACATGGTTGTTTATAGTAAAGCAATTTAAATAATTATCATAATGTATTTTTATTGATAATGTTTATTTTTCTACTTCTTGTTTTGTTGTTCTTAGGTGATAGACCAGTAGTTCAGACTTTGTGTGTTTCTTAACATAATGGTGGAAACGGAGTAAATGTAATCGTTAGACAGACCTGCATTTATAGGGCAGGATAGTTAAAAGTACAACTTTTATTCATGTTTAAATAACTACTAGATATTTTACTGAATTAAAATGAGTATTACTACAGTGTAGAAATACTCATTGAAATGTTACTTTAGTTAAAGTGGGAGCATCAAAATATACTTGAAGCACTAAAAGTAAAACTCAGAATTAAAAAAGTAATATCCTGTATTATAATTAATTAATTATAATGTTAAATACAATGCTAGGCAGCTTATCAATTTCACTAAAAGAACAATAATGTTGTAGGAGTACACCAATAATACATCCTCCTTTTTCTTTAAATTATATTTTGTAACATGATTCTGAATCTATATAGATAGACGTTGTGGAAAGATTATTACATACAAAGGAGCAGTAAATAGAAATATTCAAATCAAGTACCTCAAAGGAGAGTAATGTATTAAAAGTACACTGTCTATATAATAAATGTTTGTCTTAGTTCGTTATGGAGGAGCTTCACAAAGTCTTAATTAAAATCCCTATAGAAGCTGCTAATCCAGTTGCATTCTTGGAAATCTAGGATCAAGTGTTTTCAATCCTGTCTTCTAAAACACTGCTTAATAGTTTCCCAAATGATGTCGAGCTTGTAAATGTAATCGCTTGGATTATGTTCACAGGCTATATTGTTTTTGAATGAATGACAGGGTATACAAAAGCATCCTGTATCTTTTGTGTGGTTAACTTTAAACAATGCAAACACTTCAAGCTAAAGCTTGTTGTTGTGCTAAATGTTTATAATCGCACCGTTATGCGATTTATGATTTACTTTCTCTGAAAACCACAATGTTTCCTATACCATAACTAAGTGAGAGCCTAAACATAACCATACACAAGTTTAAAATATGCTGTAGTCATAAGAAGTGCTGTATATAAATACATTGTTTTGCAATGTTAGTATCATTTA